TTGCATGTGCGATTATCTGCATGGTAAGGGTGAGCTGTCTATATATAGATAGTTTTATGCTGTCTTCCGCTAATTGCGTTAAGCTATTCCAAATATATATTATAAAAACCTAGGAGGCATAGTCTAAGCTTCAAAAACTCTCCTGCTTTGCAGATTTTAATCAGTTTTACTGCAGCGTGTGAAGTAAATGACAGAAGCACCTTTAAAACTACAGTTGTATGGGAAGAGAGAAGCAGAGGAGCGTGGGCAGAGAGAAGTGCCTGGCTTTTGGGGGAAGAATAAAGTCGTGTCTGCAAGGTACTGGGATGCAGGAAGGATCTGCATTATTGTTACTCATCTAGCAAATCAAGGGGTGGCTATGCAAGTCTTAATGTGACATGTCTCCATGAAATATGTCCTTGTTCTCTCTGGTCAGTGGGATCCTTGCTGTCAGCAGCACACACTTCCTGGCGGGGCACAGGCTGACTTCTGGGCTGAGTCTGCTGGAAGATTTCGGAGTGCTACCTTTCCACTTCTGTTGTAATGACTAAAGGAAACCGTTTTAGCTCCACTTGCATAAGAAGAGGTTTCTTTCTTCAGTGGGAGTTGACAGTGGGCTTACTGATAAGGTGTCAGTCCCCGTTCGCTTGCTTGAGAACTGAAGACAATTGAGGAATGTGATGGCAAAATCCGCTGCACCGATGAGTCCTCATGGCTAACTGACAGTTGATAATTACCTGGAAATGCTCTACATTCTCCTTATTACATTTATTAATATTAATGTATGCTAAAGGAGCACTAGCAACGCTAACTACAGGTACAGTTGAACATTTGTGCAGTTTTCATAAATAGTGGAAGCAGTGACATTAAACATATCCAGGAATCCCCATATTTACAAATATTTATTTTGGCAAGAGCACCTAATTCAGATGATCCTAGTTGCACTCCCTAATACAGTGTGCGTGTTTGTCACACAGCATGGTCCTCAAATTGATAGTCGAATTAGTCTGAATGCAAGGGATTTCCTTTGGCATATCACTTTGTATTTCTCAAATACTTGAATTTCATTACAGTTGGGGAAAAAACACACTGCTCTAGCAACACACAATTAACACACGAGTGTTGTGGAGTCGGCATTGATTCATTTGCCAGCACAAGAGATGTAATGTATTATGTGGTACGTGAGCGCGATTTCGCTTGGTAATTAATAATCTTTGTAAGAGTCACCTAAAGTGTCTCTTGGTATGCCGTGAATTGCAGTTTAAGGAATGCTTATGAATTCCTAACTCAGGCACTTTCCAAAAGACCCAAGTGTGGGAAATTGCACGCCGCTCAAATGCAGCTCTGAAACATTTTGACTTTAGACATCAGTAGGCTTTTTTTTTTTCCCCCACTGAGATAGTCAAGGGAAGGTTAAGTGTCAAACCAAGCCCAACACGTGTGGGTATTATCTTCACAGATGTTTAGTGCTTACTGCAGGAAGGGGGGTAAGACCATGCTGCAGTTGGCCGCACATGGGTCTGAATGCTTGCTACCTGTTAAAATTTGCCTTGATTGCTTTAACTGAAGCAGAAGTTTATATTTTTCTGAAGTTAGTTTATTTTGTACACAGGACGGCTTTTCATATGTTATCAGATTTACTGCTTCTCCTGTTAGTCGGTGGTGGGTTCTCTTGCTGCTTATGGGTCTTTTTTCACAAAGCATCAGCAGAAAACCCCATTTTCAAATAAGAAAATTAAATTGTAAACCCCGAAAAATATACAATTGGGGAACAGTCTAGCATTAAGCAAGTTTTAAAGCTTATGGTTTTAAAGATAAGAAGGGTCTTTTTGTGCAGAAAACTGTGATTTAATGTGATGGTTAGATTCTCTCTGCCTCTGTTCTAACAAGATGGGTATTGTAGCAGTAAGGACGAGCGATGCAAGCTTCACCTTGGGTCAGCACCCCAGATCCTTATCTGAGGTCCTTGCAGTGGTTGTGCAGCGGGATCGCCTCAGCTGGTAAAGGCACTTCATCGCCAGCACCTCTGTGTTTTGCTAAGCCTGCACCATGTATTTCATGACAACTACTATCTATATGTTTTGTTTTCAGCCCTAAATGTGGAGAGATATTCATGCGATAAGAAGACATCGCAGTGCAGACAGACCACCCGGATGGGTTTTCTTTAGTCATTTTCTGAGGCAACAGCAGACACCAACACAGTGATTTCTTTTCACTTTTCATGGGTACGATTGGAGAGGTTGCTTCATTTATTTTTTATTTTATTTTTATTTTTTCAACTTTGAAAAGATTTGAAAACTATATTAGGGATAGGCTTTGTGGAAACTGGGGTCAAAATCAGGAGAAACAATACATCTCTAATGAAACTTCTATAAGCCATCCAGATACAAATTGGTCTTTTCATTTACATTTCACTACAGATGTCAATGAAAGCACAGTTCCTTCTAAAGCATCCTAATGTATGTAAACCATTGCAGGAAGCATAGCATGCAAAGCCTAGGAGACTGCAGATGGAGAGAAAAGGCTCCTGATTTCATAAAAATAACAAAACCTGTTTTAACATATTGTGCATTAAATATTGTTCATTTGCATACTTTCTATGGCTAGGTTATAAAAGCCCACCATGTGGTGGACTTGTTGGAAGTCTGAAAAGATACTCTTTCTCCAAATGGAGATGTGTTAGTGGAAGCTGCTGCTTAATTATAAAACAAAAATAACTAGTTTTTTCTAGGGTTTTTTGTTTTTTACTTTTGCAGGTTTTTAGAGTCTGGGTATTTTGTTGTTTACATAAAATTCAATAGAATTAGGAAGGAAAACATAGGTGCAATCACTGCAATTTCTGCTAACTGGGGTTTGGTGTTTTACAACAGTCTGCCTGCTTGGAATCAGCAGCAGCAGGGACTCCTCCATCAAGAGTTTCCAGCAGATAGCCAGGCAGATTGTAAAGTACCTCTTGTATCTTTATATAGAATTGTATAATTTTATGTGTATTGTATATAGTGTATTCGCGGCTGAAACATTGGATAGTACAAATATACAATACCACTGATTAAAATCAGAAATTGCTGTCAAAATCCTAAATAGAAAAATGTATAAAAGGAGAAGGAAAATTGGTGTACGTGGGATGGGAGTCTTGTGTACACACATACTGTCAGGGTTTGGAGAAGGATGGACTGAGACATGTTCTTGGAGGGAGCAGGTTCCCTGTCGTAATAGCTATGGCTTGGCTTGATCCCTTTCCACGTACAGGATTTCGTAAACCTGGAGCAGTGGGTGGTATCTGAGCACAGGCATCCATTAAGTCCAGCCTTGGAGAAGTGTCATCTATCACCAGAGCGGTAAGGGTTTTAATGGTTAAGGTTGCCAGCTTAAAATTGATCTGCAGGTTTATAAGGTGCCAATGTAAAGAGCACGGGGTGGGCATAAGGCTATTGGGGTAGTGTGGAGCTGGTGTGCTCCCACGTTCAGAGAAGTAGTCAGAGCAGCCCAAATAGTTAGCTTTAGCGTGTATCTTGCTGGAGAGAATGTAAATGAAATTGGGAGGTGTTAAACCTTTCTTTTAACAAAAAGCAATTTTCTGTGGAACTTGAGGGAGAAGTCCTGCGCCAGGGGAATTGCCTTTTGCAAGCCCCATGGAGATCCATTCACACCTAGCCAAGCTACAAGCTGCTGAGACTTGTTTGTGGTTTGCTTTTCCACAGCCCGGCTTGCTCCTGGCTGACTGTCAAGATGCAGGGTGCTCTCTCAGCACTGGCAGGTACTGCCCCAGGGCCTGGCAGGTCAAACTGTTGCCTCCAATCCCTGGGGGAATCTCCCCTGGACCCAAAAAGGATGCTCTGGGCTGGGGATATCCACCTCAAATTTTCCAGGAGGTTGGTTTGTCCACGCACATCTTCCAGGTGCTGGGATTTGGAGACCCAAGGGGTCACAGTGCATAGTGGATGGGGGCAGGAGCCTTTGGTGCTTCAAGTCTTCAACATCTCATTGTTTGAAAGCTTTGCAAATCTTGACCTTAATTAGGCAGCTTGTCTCTAACATCTTCCTGTGAATGTGTGTGAGTTAAGGCGGCTGGGGTGAATCCTTCCTTGAGAGATTATTGCATATTTTCCTATAATGAATTAATTCTTTTATAATTGGGCTCAGAAATGGGTGGTGATCATGTCCATAAGGGAGCTAGTGCTTTTGCATTGAGCTTGGGGTGTGAGGTTTGCACAGCAGATGGGAAGGACCAGCATTTGATGAAGTTAAAAAGATACAGTTGTCACAGTCCATGGGAACTCTTGTATATACAGAGAGAGAGAGAGAAGGACTTTTGGAGAAACCAGAGTGTAGAGTCGTATAATTAAAGGCTTCTTCCAAAAAGCATATGCGCAAGGGAACTGACCTGGTCTTGTGAAGCCCGCGTTGATGATGGCGTATTTTGCTGCGAGTACCTTTACTTGGTGAGCTCAACAATATTCCCTCAGCTCAGGTTTTGTACATGGTAAACATGTGAGTATCCATAATTAAGGTGTCCTAGTAGGGGTTTTACTTAAAACAGACAACAGAGAAAATAAAGGTCTACCTGGAGTAGTGGTTTGCAGTGGCTGAGCGCAGGATCCGGGCACCAGACACTGGCTGGGCAGTGGTGGCAGCAGACAGCTTATGGACCAGCAGTGGGGACCCAGCCACACCCTTTGGCAGTGGCGAAGTGATCAGGGAAACACCGGTTTGGGCAGACGCTTTTTGTCACTTTCTCAAATTAGGTGCTTTTTGGACAGGGTACTTGTGCTTGTAAACAGACCATGCCCTGAAGCCTGGAGCATATAGTACCTATGGTTTAGCATAAGCGCTTTACTTAACTAGAAATGGGGCTACATGAAGTGAGTCGTGGTGCAGGAGCCTCTAGATGAGGAAAATACCATTTGTCCTGTTTCTATGAATTAAGCAACGTTGTTGTCACCTGGTAGCAGCTTCTGGTTTCGTTCTGGGAATTCTGACAGTGTTAATTTGCTCTTTTTCCCCTCGTCCCTTCTCCGCAGCAGCAGCAAGAGATGCTGGCCATGAAGCATCAGCAGGAGCTGTTGGAGCACCAGAGGAAGTTGGAGCAGCACCGACAGGAGCAGGAGCTGGAGAAGCAGCACCGAGAGCAAAAACTTCAGCAGCTAAAAAACAAAGAGAAAGGAAAAGAGAGTAAGTAGCAAAAGCTGACTTGTTTCAGTGATGACAGGTAGAGCAGATGAATGGAAACCATAAAGCAGCTTTATAAAGCTGGAGAAACCTTCATGATAGCCTCTCTACAGAGCTCAGCTGCACGGGAAGCTTATGTAACCTGTTAGGCGGTATTGATGGTGAGAGGGAAATGTATTTCTATGCTTTATCTTCATTTTTGTCTTACTAAATGCCATTTTAGCGTTTTTCAGAAGGAAGCATATCATCTCTTTACTTGATTTAACATTTTTTTCAAATATTTTTGGCAGCATTCCCAATGGAGGCAGAATATTAAGCACATAAAATACACCAGATGCACACTGCATTTCTCTTTCTTTTACTTTTCTTAATTTCACTCTTTTAAGATGTAGGCGAGTTCTCAGTTCTCAGCTTTAAAGTGTTTTCATTTAGAAAGTACTTCTTTCATGAGGTTACAGATTGTGGTTGGCTTTCCCACGTGTCATTATGCACTTCACGAGATTCAGTAGAATGATTATGGCCTCACAAATCCCCTTATCAAAGACACTTTAGTTGCTTGTTCGGTTTTCTTTTAGAAGTGAATGGGAGGAAAAATACCTCACCAAGTTGTACTATCAACTCATTAGGTCTTCATTTCAAATGAAATAAAGAAGCCTGTGATGGGAAAAGTGGAGAGGGCTGAAGGGTACCAGGAGATGGGGTGCTGCCTGGGGACCAGGAACAAGATAAAGCTCCAGGAAGAGTTTTTCTAGCAGGGAAGAACTGGGGCCTAGGAGACTAAAAAAATAAATATCTGAAAGTTGAATTCCCCACTCCCTGCATGTGTATCTTGCAACAGCAGACTTTAAGCTGCAGCCAAAATGAGGGACCTAACCCAGTATCTTCACAAAGCAGTTCATAGGAGGTTCGATGTGTCTGTGTGTGTTTGGTTTGGGTTTTGTTCATTTAAAATACTAGAAAGACGAAAGGACCAGAGTCTACTTCAAAGAAGCAGTTTAACATTCAGGGGTGAAAAAAGGTGATGATAATGCAGGTTTGCTAGTCTGGTGCCCAGCCAGCTGCTGTGTGCGGTACTTTCTGTTGTCCTCCGGCTGCTTTGTGTTATTTTCCAAAATAAAGGCAGTCGGTTTGAACTGCATGAAAGCTACAAGCATTTCCACTTCACCCTGCTGTTCTCATCAACTGTTGACGTATCAATGTTTTGCCGGGTCTCTGCAAATTGATATCTGGCTAGTCTCATTAAAGAAATTTGCAGATAAATAAAAAAGGCTGAATGTCTGTAGAATGGCAAAAGCATTGAAGCCCCTTTTGGATGAAACACATAGGTGTAGAAGGAAGAACAGAATTTGGGGATGTCAAGTTGAAGATCCTGTTCCCATGGCTACAGTTTTATTTTTAAATTACTTTTATTTAAGTACTATGGTGTAAAATCGTTATAGCACCTCAGCTCTTAAGAATACTTAAGTTATTTTTCTCACATCAGAAAATTTTGCTTAGCATAACACAGCTAAATTGTCCTGATCTGAAATATGAAGAGTGTGTAGTAGGTGTAGAGTATAGTTTATTCTCCCTCCTTCCTCCATCATTGTAAGCCAAAATCACAAATCAGTTTAGATTAACATAACATCAGCTCCTTGTGTTCTCATCTTGAGAGCCTTAACCTGTTCCTTGTGAACACGTCATGATATCTACTACCATAAAGCTTTTGTTCAAAAGCATGACTTCCACAAAAGGAATGAAAATGTATATGAAAGTAAAGGTGTTTTTTGCGCAGGATAATGAGCGATAGTTGGTTGCCCTGTCTTTCCACTATCAGAATTGAACCTAGAACTAGTCCTATGCATTGGTGTTTCCAGACAGGCATAGTCTGTCTTCCTCCTTCTGGGCATGGACAATTCAGTCCCTTGCTGCTTGGGCAGCCATGGACTGTAGCTTGTCTTGCACTTCCTCCTACAATTTGGCCAACTGTGATCAGCCCACACTATCATTCAGGGCTTTCTCCTGTTAATTTCCATTTGTTCTACTCCCCTGCTCTTGCACTGTGCAACCTCCCCCTTCCTGTAGAAGCTTGGTCCTGCTTCTGCCCTCCCTTATTCTCTTCCCACTACCTCTACCTTTTCCCATATTCAGATACTATTTGATCCTGGGACAATATGTAACTTGTTTTTGCCTCTGCAGTAGTAACCTGTCTCAGTCTTTTGGCCCTTTAGAGCCATCCTGTCTGCAGTACTTTGCTCGTATCTCCTGTTTGCAGTCTTTATCAGTTGATCTGCTCGTTGCTCCCTGCTCCTTTTAGACACTCTAGCCCTCTGAAATGAATGGGCCAGCTTGTGTGTTTGATAGTTTGGTGTTCCCCACCATGCACAGCTGCTCCCCCAGGCAGGGCTGCTGCTCGAGCTTTTGGTCTCTGGTTTCTTCTCTCTTGTCCTCCTTTTATTCTGCTGTGCTGTTCACTTCTTTTGGGATTGTGTCTTGCTTCCTGTGTATACTTATTTGGTACATATGGGCTTTTGATGTCTGACTTCTGCTCTTGTCCTTTTTGCTTATACCCCTGCACGGTGTATACTATCGTGTATATGCGTATATGACAGGCTGTCCCTTTGGAGTCCTCTTTAACATCTTTACTGGATGTTGCACAGTGCTTCTGTCTGTAACAATGTGACTGGGTCCAAAATGGCCCAGTATAATATACTAAAGGGGAGTCAGAGTGTTTGTGGGTTTTTTTACCTTCTGATCTTTCAACTTGAGGGTGAAGAGCTGAGTAATGGTGAGAAAGTCTTGAATGACAGCTTGGTCCATGGCTCCAGCATTGCCCATGGAAGGAGAAGCCTACATGTTTTTATCTTGTTAAGCATATATGGAGCCTTTAGGCTTCTAATTAAGGAGGAATACATGCCAGGGGAGCTTTTGTAAACCTCAGGCTCCAAAAATGTTTAGCTTCAAGTCTTCTAAATAATGTCAGATTTATCCAAAACTGACAGAATACAGCCGTGTTTGATTGTTTTAAAGATGCTAATAGATAAAAGATGACACTTCTTGGAGAGAGAAGGCCTTTATGCATGAATTTGTCACCTATTTTGGTCTAGCCATGTGGCTTGCTATGCTCATATAAATTTATCTCCACTTCCTCTGTTGAACTTCCTTTTGGGGTACATACCAAACCTACATTTGTAGAGCTTGTGAGAAAGCAGGGCTCCAAGAAAAGTGAATTTTCAAGCTTTTCAATGTGACTTCAGTGGTTGAACAGTATTACATTTTCAGGCAGTGCTTTCTAGAAATATTGCAGTTTTCTTATCTGGTAGAGGTACAAAAAATTGTTTCCCCAGTCTCTCAAATGTCATTGTTGAGTAGGATCCAGGAAAAAAAAGATGACCCTGTTGTATTTTAAGTTTTTATTCCCAGTAGTGCAGACAGTTTTCCTGGCCCTTTCATTTTCTTGTAGCCCAGGTATTTTCCTTTGGAATTCTTTCTTTACGCCCGTGGTATAGATGAACCATCATTTTCCACATGTTCTGCTTACCAAATTATCCATGCATTACTCCGTCAGGAGCACTGCCTGTGAATCTGTTCTGTCAATTGAATGATAATTTTAATCCCTCATTGCTGTAAAACAGACTGGTCTCTATTGTGGAGGAAATAATGATTAGAAATTACACAGTTGACATTTTAACTTTATGCTACAAAATTACTGACTTTCTTCTTCAAACGTTAGATTTTCTATTTGAAGAAATAGATTGCACACTTGTAAATGAATTGGAATGTTATGTAGGTCTTACTGTACACAGATACTTTTCAACAAAGAGGTCCCTATTTACAAGAGTTTTCAAGACAAAATCTACATATGAGACATTTGTCTCATTCCCCTTCTGCTCGCAGATGTGACATTTAAAAAATTGAATATACTACAAGACCCTTTTTCTTAAATACCTTTGATTAAAAGAAAGCTGGAATACCTAGTAAAAGTGCTTTATTCTAAGTATACTTTTATGCAAGTGTAAAAACCTTTTTCAGAAATCTTTTATAGTGAAATGATAAATCTCTGATTAGATCTCTGTTTTCAAACATATGTGATTATATGCAAAGCTGAAGGAGAGAGGGGAAAAAAAAAAAAGGAGAGCTCCTTACTGGAGGCGCTTTGTTCTTTTCTCTTTGAAAGAAAAGTTCTTTTTTTGGACTGGAAATCAAAGATTTAATTCTGAATCTTTTTAGAAATTTAAGTTCTTTAAAGTATGTGAATTGATTAAATAACCTTTTCTATTTCTGACATTTCAGGTGCAGTGGCAAGCACAGAAGTAAAGATGAAATTACAAGAATTTGTCCTAAATAAGAAGAAGGCATTGGCACACCGGAATCTCAACCACTGTATATCCAGTGATCCTCGCTTCTGGTATGGGTAAGTGGTACTGGGCTTATCTTTATGATTCAGCCGGTGCCACCTTTTTTCACAGTTGCTGGAGATGTGGAGAATAGACCTGATAAATTTACTGATGAACCAGAACAATAATAGAACCAGGGTTTGACTTTGCTGTACATTACCAAAGTGCATTTTTCATAGGGTTTCAGTGTGAATAATTTTCATCTCTTCCGTGACAGTCACAGGATTTTTGTGAGTAGAGGTCTTTGCTGTCATCTTTAATCCATGATTATTCAAACTTGCAAGTTCTACCATCAAGATCAACCTTTATAAGTTCTCTAGCTTTTCACCCAGGATTTTGTCCTGCCAGGTGTTATAAAACTTGAACTTTAGTAAAATGGGGAAGAAATTACTGTTCATGTTTAGTGAATTGCAAGTCAGGATAATTGCAGTAGTGTTAAATTTTTAAAGCCTTTAATGCTTACTGCTCATCTTAATCTCTCAAAGTTGGAAGTTTTCTTTATGTGGCTCTTCTCTGTAAACTGCTGGAAACATCAAGTGCGTCCTGTCTGCACTTCTAATCACAATTGCCTCAACATCTACATTTTTCCACTGAAAATTTTCAACTGTTCAAGGACACCCAAATGTCATGTGGGGCGAGAATATAACAGCTGATGTTATAATGGCACGGGAGCAAAGAGTGACTTCTTTGATTAGTTCAAATGCACCAAATAACAATATAAACTATGGCATTATTATTAACAAGGCACAAGTTTCAGTTCCAGAAATTCACTTCTTCATTGTATAAAAGAAAATTGGAAATGATTTGAAAACTTCTGCTATTATAACATTGGGAATATCTTGTGAAATTTGTGTTCAAGCTGAATGTCTGACAATATTTTAAGTCTTAAGAAGTTAACATGTATACAGAGATGATGAGGTTATAGCCAGATGTTCCCAAATTGAAGAAACTAAGCTGAAATTAAACTTGAAAGATATCCCAGCTATGAGCCAGTAGAGAAATGCTGAAGTGTAGTTGGCAGAAAAATTCAAACATTATTCCAGTAGAGTGAGATTGAAGAGTTTTAATTCATCTCTGAAAATCTAATCTGAGACTTGGAAATTGTATGGTTGTGTCACTGTTTAAAATAGTGAAATGTTGTTAGTTTGTACAAAGATCATATTTAAGGCCCACTACGTCAGTATCAAGGATAGTAGAAGAAATAGGAGAAACTGAATTTCAATCAAGACAACATAAATAACTTCTTTAGATAACTGATTTTCCACTGTTCTTAATTGAGACTCACCAAGAAATTTGGGGATTTTATTAAAGGCAGTTGAAGACTCTCTGAGCCACTATGTTCTCCATTTTTTTCCAGTTAGTTAAAATGCCTGTTTATACAAAAGTGGTATAAAATCAATTAGAATTAAATAGTAGTAAATAAGTGCTTTCTTCCAAAAACCTTTGATCCTCTGGCCCTAGAGAAACCTGGCATCAAATGGCCGTCACTGGTGAATTTAGAAAAGAGAAAAATAAATTCAAGAGTGATCTGAATTCCTTATGTTTTGCACAGTTTTCAATTAACTGCTTTTTCACCAAGAATCCAGCATTCAGAGGTGAATCGAAGACCAGCGATCTGTAATATCCCTATATGTTACAGGGCCAAGGGTGATGCAGGAGGTTATTTAACCAATTCATGTTTAAGGTTTCACTATGTTTCCTGCTTTGTTTTAAGCTAATGCTGAGAACTTTCTGAGCACCAATATATTGTTTAGGTTTATTGTGATGTATGTTAATTGAAACATGCCTTTTCTGCGGTGCTTCAGGGATACCAAGAGGTAGAGACAACGTACAAACTGTTGCATAAGGGGCCATCCTTTTTCTTATGGATTTAACGGCTTGCCATCCCCTCATCTTCCCTCCATCTGTTTTGTGGTGGGGAGAGGATCAGTATTTTGTTTTCTAACATAAGACGTGAAGAGAGAAGAAAGAGCCTCCAAAGCCTCACAAATCTTTCTAAGGATCTGTCTCAGTGATAAGTTGCAGGCAGGCATGAGCTCATTCTGCTCAGCCTTTGAGGCCCTTCAGTTGCTGAGGCAGAAGTTGAATATTTTTCTCTTCCATTCTGTTTTAAAATATTTTTTTAAAAAGATAAAACCCTTCAGTTAATTACATATTAATATTTATTTGCATGGCATCTCATAGGTTACCAGTTCAGTTATAGAGATATTTATGTATGCACATATTTCTAATGAAGTTCAATTGGATGGTGGTTGGATTTAACACACGCAAACGAGGCCTGCAGAAGATAGACTTAATGCTCCTACTGTGAGCAGGCAAGTCAATTAAGTGGTAACAGATGCTGAAATAGTCTTTTAAATGACACATCTGCTTTTAAGCACTTCCTTTGGTCTTATTAAGGTTTGTGAATTCCTTTTTTTAAAAAAATTGAAAGCGTTAATTGGAGAAACCAGGTCTCCTGAGGCTATTGAACACCACAACAGTTCTACATCAATGGCTGTGACAAGAAATATGTTCCACTGATACGTGAGATAGCTGTGCTTCCCCTGGCCCTTTGGGCCAGGCTTCAGTTGTCCACTGAGATGCCCAGATGCTTTTGCCTTCAGTATCTTGTATCTGTTTGAACTTCATTCAACACTGTTGCTTGCTGGTGCAACATTGAGTGTTTATAGTCAGTAAATCTTTTCTAATTAATCGCTGATGTTAAAGGGCATTGTTGCATGCACACGTGTGGATCAACCCTTGAGATGAAAAGGGTGAACAGTTTTAGAGGTTTTGCAGAATACACTCATAGTCAAAAGGATCTACTAAACAAAAGAAAGGAACTTGGTAATGTTTCTTGGGGGCTTGCTCAGTCTTCAACTATGTGGTATTCAAGCCACTTTGTAAACTTTGTTTAATATATACAGCTCCACTGTATGTAATAGTAACTATGTAATAGTTTAAAATAGCTTTGTGGACTATAATTTTCAGATTACGTTGATGATAGGCAACAACAGAAGAAGGTCTCTTGAATTTCATTGTCAGACTGGCCCTCCTGTGGATTCTGAACCTGCTGGACTGCCCTGCTCCCAGGAGGTTTTGCTTTTCAAGATACTTAACATAAGTAAGAGTGGCTTAGCAGGAACACAGAGCGCATCAGGCTTAGCAAACAGGCCTATTATTTCCCTAGGAAGTTGTCAGAAATGCTCTTGGGAAGTAGCCACTCAATGTGGTAGCAGTCATGAAAGGGAGTTTAACTGAGTATTTGCATGGTAAGGAGGTAGAGAGATATAATTACACGCTAAATTATTCCAATGTACATAGGCGTCTGCAGTCTCTGTACACAAAACGTCCTAGCACAGATACATATGTTTGAATATAGATTCAGTTTACTTTGCGTGAATATGTTTGAAGTATCATGCATGCTTTGCTCTGCGCGTGGGTTTTTGAAGGACCTCAGAGCTCAAAGAACAGGGCATGTGTTATGTGAAGGTAT